GAAGCTATATGCGGCGCCGCGCATAGTAATTAAACGGCGAGAATATTTCTAGGATACTTTGAAACAGCTCGAGACCGTATATGCTCGAGCATCTAGCATGTCGCTAAGCCATAATAATTATTTTATCGAGGAAAGCTGGCGCCAACATGAGCCCTGCAATAAGCAAATTTTAAGAGATTCTTATGGCACAATTGTTGTAGGTAGCATGTATAAATTGAAAATAGAATTTAAAGCTTCATATCTTTCCTCGTTTCATCATTAAGCCATAATTATGTCATATGAATTTCATAGTAGCTTGCCATCTTGTATGCGGACATTATGCAAGCAGACATTAATGACCGCATAAGCTTTGCTAACAAAACTATTCAATGATGTCGCATTAAAAATTGTATTAACCACATTGTACGTAAAACATTAAGAAACAATTGCGATAAATGCTAAAAATTATTATTACTGCAACGTATTAGTTTTTGCTCTAAATATACCGCTGTGTTACATAAATGAAAATGGTCGATTGTAAAATTAACTGATAATTACTTGAACAATGCACAGGTATTCAAGAAATATTAATAAAATTTGTTTACGGAAGATATTTGTAAAAAATATTTATAATTGTTTTAATTCTGCTTCTACATACGTAATATAACTTTTTATTAAAAATATGAATTTTATACAAGGCGCGTATATATGCTTTTAATTAATTATTATCTATCTCTTGTTGTTAATTTAACAATTAATTAACAATAAAATTTATTAAAATAGGAATATATTTTAATAACAAATGTTTTATATTGTTTACAAAATTTTTAAAAAGAATAGGAATTAAACAGAAGATTAACTAAAAAAAGCCGGATAGTTCGTTGAAATAACAGCGCAAGCATGGCGTGTGCATCGCTGTGTTAATGTTATCGCAAAGTAGACTGTATTTCTAGCAGATGTGTATAAGAGTAACTGCGCTTGATACACTTGACCGTTTCAACTAGACACGCGGATGCGTCCGGTGTGTGTCCAACTTAATTGCATGCGTATAAATAAACTGCTTTATTTGCACGGCCATGTGAAGTCGCTGTCTGCATGAGCAGTGGGGATAATCAAAGCCAGCCGCATTAATTGCCTCGATCGACAGATCGTTTGACGATGCAAAGAGCGAGGCAGCGATAGGCTGAGAGAAAGAGAGAGGAAGGTAGGGTGGAGGAGGGAGGAGGGGTAGGAGGGAGAGAGAATGATGAGGACCAGGGGTCATCCCGACGCCAACATTGGCGCACATACTGTTCGATAACGGCTCAATTCTCGACGAAATTCTATCTTGCTGCAAAATCTCGTCGAATAATTATAATCACGCTGTTCATTTTATCACGTCATTTCTACTGTATTTAAACTATTTCTAAACGGAAAGATGCATGGTGAAATAAAAAGTTAGTTTTTAACTTCTAATTTATTTAGTTTTCCCTTTTTCGACTGTGTACTGTATCTTATTACCGCGTAAGATGGTACATTCGTATTTATATTTATTCAATTAAAGTTAATATAATTGAATTAAAGTAATTTACAATTGATGACGACGAAGTTCGTGACAAAATTAAATACTAGACTTGGTTTTTAAAATAAGAATTACGTAAATATCATACATTCACAAGTGTATACTCTGATGTCAGGTGTATTCGAGTAACTAATTTTTACATAAATCAAAAGAATATATTTTATTTGCAATATGTATATTTAATATCGATATGTAATAATTTTTTGTTTTGCGTAGTTTTATATAAGCAGTGCAATATATATCGACGAACATTTAATATTACATTTCTGAGAGATAAACATTCTCTGGCGAACTGTGCGCATTTAATGTAATGTAAGTTTTCCATGATATGTCGCTATTGATCGTAGAAAACGTCGGTAGTTCGCTTGTCCTTCTGTTACGTATTTAACAGCATGACTCTGTAAATCCTTTGAAAGATTAAGTAGCTATGGCTCGCGGTCAAACGGCACCATTAATACCACTTTCTAATTTGCCAAACTGGCGAATCGGCGAAGATGTCGATTTGAATAATGTCGAAATGCCGTTATCAGCTGTCAATGGTAACAGTCTACAGGATGTTCTAATGCAGAATATCCGGCGCCATTACTTTGCTGAAGCCATTCGCTCCATTAAAAAAAACTATAAAATATTGCAATCGTACATCGTTATTAACGTCAGCTTTTAATTTACAAATGCCTGCGCTATGAGCAAGTAACATACGTTAATTTGATCGATTTCAAAATGTCATTACTGACCGCGCAATGTTTTTACCGTATCGGACGAATAGAGCGTTATTTATGTCGAAATTGTATAAAGTCAATTCGATAACGATTCCGAAGGAAAATTTAATACGTCGTAGGTTAATAACATCAATCTTACCGTTTATATGGCGAAAGTAGAGAGTAATCAAGCATGTCATTGCATGCTTTGTACCTATATCCTGGTGCATTTTTGGCTCTCGACATTTTTAAAGCATCGCGTATAACGATGTGAAATTATCGATCAGTCTTGCAATTTCACTCTCGCGTGTTCCTTACGTATGTTAATGAAAGAAAAGTAAAAGTTTGAGTTATGGTCCAGGATCTACGATCCTCTGCCATCGACCTGTGCATTTGAGTGTATTAATTAACAGCAATCTCGCTGATAATAGAAAAAAATCTTTTTTTTTTTTTTCAAGATGCGAGCATCTCGCGGTTTTCGGCGTTTAACGAGAGAGAGAGAGAGAGAGAGAGAGAAAGAGAGAGAATCACATGCGAGGCGCGTGCACACAGAACGCGCCCTTGCTGATTTATATTCGTCGGAGAGTTTTCATTTTTCACCGTTTTCCTTCCTACCGCGGAGCGGCCCTTTATTATTTCGCCGGCCCCGCATTGTACTCCGCCGTTACCCCGTTACGCGGATGAGAAATCGCCTTTCCACTCGTGGATGAATGCAGCCGGTGGTATACAATCGAAGTCGCGCATATAAGAGGCGGCAAAAAGCAAACCGACAATGGACCGCGAGATTTCGACTCGAATCGTATCAATCGCTGTCGGGGCACAATCCTCTACCACAGCGACGTGTTACCTGCTCTACGCGCCAGGCTATCGGGGGATCCCCTTTCGTTGCCCCCTTCCCTCCCTCCGTCCCTTTAGCTCTGATCACAATGGGGATTCATCGATACGCCATCGATACCCATGGAGTATACTTACATCCACGCGAGCAACGTGCGTGAACGTTTTTCTATTGTGTGCCCCTTTGCGTTTAGTATGTATACGCGCATTACAGAAAAACAGAGCGGATGATATTTTAATCTCTCGTGTCCTTGAAGGAAGATCGCTGCTAGTGAACCGAGTATTAAAGAATCAAGAATGCTATAGGAAACCTAGAGGAATTTCGTAATGATTGTTCAAGTCGGATGCAATCGCGAGATTAATGATGATCGTTAGACTTATATCGCCAATGGATGTAAGAACGTCTATTTGCGCAACCATTAAATTTCATGAGAAATTGAAATCTCTAATTTGATTGAATCTCTAACTTTCGTGATAGTTCAGTTTCCACTACTTTTTCTGGATGTTAAATGCGTGAAAAGTCGGATTATTTCATTCACTGATTTGCTCGTGTATGACACGTAACAGTTGGATCTTTCAGCGGTTAGCTCTTTTTTGTTTTCTTCACAAAAGAAGGACGCAGTCGGCGCCGCGTGACTAAAGGGTTACGTGTGCTATTGCGTGTTTTATAAAATAGAGAGGTATATATTTTTCCACGCGAGGATCGCGTTTGCCGTGGGGCGAACCCACCCCTTTTCGATGTGCAATGACGTTTATTGCAGTGATATTAATCGATCGGGAAGGGTCGTGACTATTGGATCGTTTTCTCCTTTTTCTCCTCCGCCCTTTTCCTACAACCCCCGTCTACCTGTTTATATCGTGTTCCGATATGAGGGGGATATTTGCGGGTACACGGTGCCGCGGCGTTGTTTGCGATCGACGAATGTATGCATAAATGGCTCAGAGGATCGTTTGACTGGCTGCGCTCGAAAAATATGTTTTGCCTGAAAAATGGATTTCAATTTATATAATGCATTTTAAGAGGATTTGTAAGCCACGTTACCCATTAACAATTTTCGCGGCACGCATTATTCATTTGCATCGTGTGCGCAAAATGAAACGAAATCGGAACGTCGATAGATATTCATGCTTGTTAATTTTATCTACGTTTCATTGCCGTTTGTTATTTCTGATATTTATGCATGTAGATGGTTCAGTATTATTGTACAACAAATAATGCTTTGATTAATATGTCTATTCTTCGTGTATAATTGTCCAGCCGTTGTTCCACCTCTATATTTGGATTTATTCGTATACGCGATTCGTACACGATTTGCGCGTATGATGAGAGTTGTGAAAAATAAAAGATTTTTTATTGTGCGACGCTGTTACGTTACAAACCTTTAATGCCAGGTCTAAAGGTCTATCGGAAAGTATACTTGCGGTCATAAAACAAAAAATGATAGCTATTCGACGTATGAATGTAACGACATCGACTTCGTTAAGGAGGCGATAGGGTTACGGATAATGTCAAATACTATGCAATCCCGCGCCTTCTCGTCATTCCTTCAAACCGGATCAGGATTGATTTCTATCTCCATTGCTGTGTGATATAAAGCAATTATGATTTTTTTATATGACAATATAGCGTCTTGTTTTTGAAAAAAATGAGAGATAAATGATGGGAGAGTGAAGAGGGCTGACATCGAGATACCTCCGTCTTTGCGCGTGCGTGTCTTCGTCTATTTTAATTGCCTATCTGCAGTCACCTATTTCAACTTGTCCTTTTATTATGTTCATTCCTTCATTCTTCAATTCCTTGCGTAAATGCTGTTTCCCGATACGACGTGTAGAATGTACTTCTTTTTATTAATTACTTTTGGATTCGATATTCTTTCTCCGTATCATTAATTAAAATATTATCAAACATTTCAGGAAAAAAAATTTAATTCTCTCTGTCTTAATTTTTATTGTAATTGTCCTGAGTCTTTCTTCCGGTTTATTATCTTATAACTTATTCAATCCATTTTTAATTTTTACAACATAAAATACAATTTTCATTTCTTTCGATTTGCTAAACGATTTACATAAAAGAAGTATGCCTTTTCTGTTTTCCTTTTATAAGTTAGAAGCATTATTGATGTTGTTTGATGCATGTGTAAAAGGAGAAATTGACGAAAGAGTAATCGAGTACGTACAAAATATTCAAATCCGAGAGAGGAAGGACTTAAGGTAAAATTAAGGATTTGAGAATGTAAGAATCGCAAACGGACTTTTCAACATGAATAGCTTCTATTATGCTATTGTGGAGTAGTTTGAAAGGAGCGACGAGCTGATGCTTCATGGTAGAATCGATCAGACATCAAGAGTTTCATTTCGACACTCGAAGTCCTGAAGAAGAATCGATCCGAAACAATCGTTCCTTCAAACATCTCATAGCCGATTTATGGCGTAATACCTGCACTTTGATTTCCTTTGATGCCTTTATCCTTATGACATATCGGGTGTTCCACTCCATTCTGTAACAACCATTCGCAGTTTCAATAATGCATTTAAAAATATAAATTGTTATATTATTATCAATGTTGTTTCTCCGAGATTTAAAAGTTTAGAGTATGCTGTAATTGTTCCTTCATCTTAATTACTATAACTGATATTGAAAATATATTTTTTATATAATTTTTAATTTCATGTTATTCTAAACATGGAAATATATCTCTGTTTTATTGAGAATAAAGTAAAATAAAACTTTAAATGAATTAGAGGCACTAAATAATGTACATTTTTTAAATATATAATTACGCCTAGATAGTATAAATTTTTTAATTGTACAATTATTAAGGAGGGCGACGAATAGGTATACGAATGAAACGAAGTATCAATAAGTAATCAAAACTATTAGTCTGGCATTATATAACTGCAGCTAAATATAAATCGCGGCAAGAACACCCTGTAGATTCATGTCTAGACCGATCGAATTAGAATGTACTCCCGCTTTCAGATATAATACGGCGGTCTCAAGCAGAACAGTCGATGCTTTCTAGGCCCTCTTAACTCACCACTATACCGTTGGAGGCTTTCGTTCGTTTCTGAAGTGGAACCATCATCTCTGTCCTTTCTTTCCGGCGAGTTCCCCTTCGACCACCTGCATCACGCTTAGTCTTCGCTTGGTAATCTCCTCTGGTCTACCCTTCGGTCCACCCTACGGATCGTTAATCCATACTTTCAGAGTGACTCTGGCCAAATATCGGTCAGTCGATGAGGCGAGCACAATGCCGCGCGTTTATCCACCCACTCGATTTTCGCGACCCCTTTAGACCTAAAGGGAATCGTCTTTTCATCACCGCTGCTTTTTTTTCTTTGTTCATAATATCTATATACGTAAAAATTCCTATGCAGCAATTATTTTAATAGACCTAAATTCGAATAGTATTGCACATTTTACTTGTTATTATACAGCTATATATTAAAGCAATCAAGACCTGTTTTGTTTGAGCTGATAGTTATTGTTTCATATTATCACTTGGAATAAAAATAGTTTGCTATTTGTCAATAATGCAACAATTTTTTTTTAAACATTGACTTAACAAAGATGAAAAATAGATATATCTCTTTCGGTCCGTTATGAAGTTTTTAATTCACCGTCGATGAGATTTCGTTTTCTGAGAGTAACAAGATCCAGTTTGGCGCCTGTTTAGTCCGAGATCGTCAACCGGGCCGGTTTTTAACCCGTCCGACCAGTTTTCATGAAATTACCCGGTTACCGGTTTCATAATATATATCCCGCCTCTTGTCTCGCGGTTCCATGTACGATGATAATGATTAACGGATTATAGGAAAAGGGCCGCGAAGAGGATTGAACAACGCATTTCCATTGGTGAAAGTGCATAGACCTCTCGTGGTCAATTTGTTACTGTGGATTTCTCAACTAATACGATTAAGTCCGGCAAATCCGGAATGAGTCCACGATCGTTAATCAGCCTCGTCGCGGCGATTTGGTAATTCGACAGGCTGATTTCAAGTAGTGAGCTCTATTAAAATTCTTTTAATTCGTGTGCGCAGTCAATCATACAATTAAATATGATCTTTAAAATATATATGGCGCGCCATTAAGTAAAACTATATATTTGAAAAAAAATTATTCTAATTTACACCATTGCTTCATTTTAATGCATGAAATTTGTGTCATATCCATTTCTCATGTTTAATAATTATAGTCATTTTGACTATATTATTCGACTATATTATTACAAAAAAAATTCGATTGCCACATGATGCTATTTTATCACACATCTCGGTTTCGCGGTTTACCTTCCAACTCGGTCAAGCATTGCACGTCTGCACGCTCACTAGCGCGCTTATAAACCTTCTCTTTAATTTCCTCGAGCAGCAGCTCGAGCACTTCCAGAAGCGACATTGCTGCAATCTAAAGAGTAGGATTCAATCTCCTTACTACATACACGCAGTAAATTCACATTCCGACGTGGCGCCATGCATCTCCAACCGCGTAGCTTCTCGGCCACAAATTTTACTACTTTTAACGTAACGGCGATTGCTTCAAATTAGCGGTTTGGTTAGCCAATCACGAGAAACTGGCTTTAAGTTATTGAAAGCGTGTTTGTGTTCGAGTTCTATCTAATATTGAGGAACTTTTTTTTCGTACAATTCGTCCGATCGGGATTTAATTCATTCTACTGATGAATAGCAGTTCGCTAAGAGTCCGAGCAGATAAACATTAAATCACTAGCAGCTCTGATAAAGTTTATCACGGCTAATACATTCTCCGGCGAGAATGTATGAGACACGCGTTACGTTAATATCGGCGGATTTGTTACGCGAAACGACTATTACAAATGGCAATTTCACTTGCGTATAGCTGATGAAATATTATTTACATAATGTAACCGGCGGTGGTGAATCTCTGCACTGATGCGGAGATGCGTAATGACACATGAGTTACGAAGAGACAGATGACCAAGAGCGTAATACATGTTACTTAGCACAGCTCGATATAAATTTTTATTAAATTTTATGAGCTGCGCAATTTTTTCCGGGGTATATTTATAATGCAATAATTTCTACATCCAAAAGTGCGCGACACAATTTTAAAATTTTAATGTTGTGTGATGAACTTTATTTCACTACGCGATATATGTATATGTATGTGTTATTCCGACGCAAATACGTTTCGTAACTCGCGCTTTTGTTATTGTTGGAATTGTTTAACGCGTATAAATAGCGCCGATTTTCAAAGTTTTTGCATCATTCTTCGAGCAATAAACGTATCATCAATGATCCTTTGATATGTTTGGATCACAACTCGAGAAATCAAAGTACATGCGTAAAGGTAACCACGACGAGGCGTTCGTAACAAATAAAAAAAAATCGGGGTAAGAGAATCTGGTCTTCGGTTTCGCGTCAATCTGGCACGTATCTCAAAGTGGAGGATACATTCAGCGGGCCAGGTTTCGTTTGGGCGTGGGACCTCTTCGAAGTTTGTAGCGAGGTCGTTAATTATAGAACGCCACGGGTTACGTTTCAATGGATGATTGATGAACGCGGGGCGATCCTCATCTAACCTCGTCTGGCGAAGGGGGTGTAGAGATGCGCACGAGACGAGACAAGACGAGATTTCTGCGATCTCGATCTCAATCTCGAAAAATCTTGAAATATTTATATTGATCTCGGATTTTCAAGAATCTCGAATATATGATCTTGATCTTGATCTCGAATCTCGACGAGATCTTGACGAGATTGACGAATACGAAAATAGTTCAAAAATACAAAAATAGTTTTATTTATAAGTATAAATAAACGTATATGTTAAAATTTTACAGAAAAGTTTTTCCTTTTACCTTTAATATTAACCAAACTGTCATTAAAAAATAAAAAGATCGGAAGAGCACACGTCTGAA